TTTTTGACAGGCAGAGTGGACAGTGAGAGAGAGAGAGACAGAGAGAAAGGTCTTCCTTTGCCGTTGGTTCACCCTCCAATGGCCGCCGCGGCCGGCACGCTGCGGCCGGCGCACCGCGCTGATCCGATGGCAGGAGCCAGGAGCCAGGAGCCAGGTGCTTTTCCTGGTCTCCCATGGGGTGCAGGGCCCAAGCACTTGGGCCATCCTCCACTGCACTCCCAGGCCACAGCAGAGAGCTGGCCTGGAAGAGGGGCAACTGGGACAGAATCCGGCACCCCGACCGGGACTAGAACCCGGTGTGCCAGCGCCGCAAGGCAGAGGATTAGCCTAGTGAGCCGCGGCGCCGGCCCTTGTTTTTAAAATCTATATTTGTTAACTGTACTGATATCAAACTCATAACTTGTATAATTGCACTTGCACATTCCTAGATCATTATCTTTTCATTTAATTAAACAGGAATATAGTGAGACAAGTAGTAAATCAAATTATTATGTTAAAATATGATCAAAGCCCTGTTTGAATGTAATCATATAACTGTATTTTATATTAGTTATGTGTTATACTATATCATTCCACATTTTTCCCTTATTAGTGAATGAAATACAATTTAAGTTTTTTTTAATTAAAAACATGTTAACAGACCCACAGATTTGTATGTGCTTGTGAGATACTGTGTGATGGTTCAATGCATGTTTATGTTGTGTAATGTCCAGTCAGGGTAAATATATCCATATCCTCAAACATTTAATATTTCTTTATGTTGGAAACACTAAAAATCCTATCTTCTAGTCTTTTTTTAAATAGAGAAATATAGAGTATGTTTTCTGTAGACACACTACAGTACAACAGAATTCCAGAATTTCTCACTCCAGTCTAACTCCAACTTAGCACTCATTAATCAACCTTTTACCTCTCTCTCCTTTTCCTGCATGGCCTCGGTTAACCTCCATTATACTTTTACCTTTCACGAGATCACCTTTTCTTAGGCTCTACATGTGAGTGAGATCATGTAGTGCATCTTTATGGGCCCAGTGTATCTTGCATTCCTCAGAATGCATCTTTATAACCTTATTGCTTGGCACGTAACTGTGCTTTTTTTTTTTTTTTTTTTTTTTTTTTTTCCATCAGACTTCAAGTAGTGGTAGGACTCCCAGGTAAATCACTTAACTCATAGAGTATGGTCATAGGATAAGTATCTTAGCTAAGGCTGTATGAGGACTTTGGACCAGGAAAGCCAGGATTTTGAACTCTGGTAATCTAGCTCAGGTTAAAATCCACGGTTCTGGATCCAGAAGACTTTTGTTAGTAAGATCGGACAGAAGCTCTGATTTCCTCATTAGCCCATTAATGTAAAATGCATTATGTAGGGTCTTAGGAGTCTCTGATCTTTCTGATGAGGTGTATCACATTACATCCTAGGGATAATGAGCTTTGTTTTCAGATGAGAATCTGTTGACACCGGGTGCATCACTTGATTCAATTTTATGTAAGAAATCAGAAGGTTGTTTTTATTTGCTTTAGATTTCCAGAATTCTTCACATGAAGAGAGTGCTTTGAAAAGGATTGGTGTTGCAGCTATCTTTAAGTAACAGCTGTGTTAAATCTTTTCCCTTCCTAACCCCTAGCCTTCATTATAATAAGAAACATGTGGCTTCTTAAAGGAACTGAAAAAGCATAGGATTTTAAACAGAATAATGCAAGGCATTTAATTAGTCACGGTTATAATTATTATCCATAATTTTCAAGGCAAACAGAGATTCCTTGATCTGCCCAATGTAAGAACAGTGAGATTCTAATTTATCAGAGTCCTACTTGAAGATTCTGACTTTACCCTTTAGTAAAAGGAAAATAGGAATGGAGGGATCATTTTTGTTTTTTAAATTACAACCCGGGCTGTAAGAGGTTCTACTGATTTTCAACTGTGATAAACATTTACATGAAAATAGGAAATGGCAGGAGAGGAAGAAAAATCACTCATAATCTTACTATGTAATACAATTGTTATTAGCAAATTACTGTTCTTATTCAGTCTTTTTGTACTCCCATAAGTGTTTTTAAAAAAATATATAGTTGTAATCATATTTCTATGTAAATATGCACTCACAGTTTTTAATATACATGTATATTTTACAGCATTAATATGTTTGTGTTATAAATTATACCTTTTTTTTACATGACCCCATAAAAGTCACTCATTTCTATTATTTAGAGCCCCCAGCAAGGTCATTGTAATTCTTTCTCTTCCTCTGTATCTCAGAACAGGTGAGAGAAAGTTACTAAAGTTGTATACTTGTTGCGCTTTTCTTGTTCCCCTGTACTACTTCTATCTCTGCATTTTCCCTATTTTGAGATAGTAACTCTGCATTCACGATGGGAGCTCTTGGTGCTTTGTCATCTCAAAGCTGTGCTTGACCCTGATCTCTGGCATCTCACCCACATCTACTGTGGGCTTCAGCCACCTGGCCCGGTTTCCTAAATTCATTCTGACCATTTGCAGTTTGATGTTTCATAGCATCAGTCCAAACACCAGAACCACATAATCTAGATGTCCTGTCTATACCTCTTTACTTTTGTGGTAATACCTAGTAGCATGGGCCTTCATCTTAAAACGTGCCTCCCTGCATCTCACGGCCGTCACAGTCTCCAGGACTTTTTGTAATGTAGCTGCTCGTTTATTCACTGAGGTTCCCATTTTCCTGGATACTGGCTTTTGTTCTCAAAATTACCAGGCACCCTCTGACCCTAATTCTTTGTGCTCTCTATCTATCCTCAGCTGAACCATCACCTTTGCCAACTCATTTACACTACATATCCACCCCCACCTCCACCGCTATTCTTAATTAGCTGTCTTTCACATTTCCCTCAGTGGTTATTCTAACCTTCTGAGTCTTTTCCAAACCCACCACATACCTCCCAACACCACTGACTCATGAGTTAGATGATTTTTCCTAGTTTTTCACTCAGACATGTAATCATATCAGAAAGTAATTTCCTTAGTTAATAAGTCCTATCTATGAGAGTTCTATAGCAAACATTCGATTGGATAGCTGTAATCATTCCTATTAAAGTCAGAAGGAAAAATAAGGAATTCACTATCACCCTTACATTTCAGTAGTATAATGGAAATTTGTAGGCTATGCAGTAAGATTGCAAATATAAAGAAGATACAGGAATTGGCAACAACTGGAAAAATATTGTTATATGAAGACAATATGATATTTGAGGGATAAAGAAGAAATGTAAAACTTATTAAAGTGACTTAGTTCAGCATGTACTGGTCCATGTGACAAACAGGTGTGTGGCATGGACACTGATGCCAGTGGAGTATTAAATCTAACACGGTTGTGGGACTGTTTTAGTTGTGATGAAAAAAGTTGTGAAGTACATGAGAATCCTAAGAGAATTTTGTACCAAACAGTGGTCACTGGCATGCTCAATATGTTGAGTTTACTTTAGTATTTGGGGGTGGAGCATCTAATCACAGATTCTGATTATTGTTTATTACCAAATGGTCAAGGAGATTATTTTCTTTCACCCTCTCTCTGTTGCTCTTACCACCCTCCCACCCCTTTCCGTACTTCCTCCCTTCTTCTCCTCGCCATTATATATTTTTTCTCTTGGCAAGAGAATGAGATATTCACAAGGGCAGGCATTTGGGCCTACCCTTGGTTCAGATGCTGCTGAGGATACCCACAGCTCATTGCAGAATGCCTGGGCTGCAGCTGAGCTCCGCTGCTGATTCCAGCTTTTTACTGATGTCCATCCTGGGAGACAGGAGGTGTTAGCTCAAGTAATTGGGTTCCTGATACACATACGTGATTGGCTTCGTAATTTCCAGCTTGGTGGGCTTTTGGGGAGTGAACCAGTGGATGGGAGCTCTCTCTCTCTCTCGCTCTTTTTTTTACTTCTCTACCTTTCAAATATACTGTAAAAATTTTTTTAAAAAAAGTCACATTCAGCTAATAATTTTTAATGGGAGAAAGCTCTGGACTAAATTATATTCAGAAGCAAAATTACCTGGCAGATAGATTTGAAACTGAATTCAGATCTCCAGTCTGTCATTTTTAGTAGTTCTGTGATTCTTGACAGATCATTTCACCTATTTCTGCCTTTAGATTTCATCTATAAAATGGCTTAAAATTATTTTTATAAAGATATGGGAATTACAGAATATATAATTTAAAAGAATAGCTATTTAAAAATTGTTACTTAAAATTAAATAAAACATATATTTGAAATCTCATTGTTCTTTATAAGCAATCTCTGTTCAGGGATATGCATTGATTGGTAAAATAGTGTATAAATGTTTGCCTAAAGAATACTAGTTATTTCAGATATTGTCATCTTTACCGACAGTTTAAACCAAAAGACCAAATATCATTCTAAATATAAAAATCTTGTATAATCTTTTAGTATTATATACTCTGTAGACAAGCTATCTTATTAGTTACAAAATGTTCAAGGAAAGCTTTTCAGTACTTAAAATATCACAGTTAATGTTTACCTCATATTAAAGTACTATTTAACAAAATAAAATTTCAAAAATTTGTTAAAATTGAAAGATAAAGACTATAAAGTTTGCTTTTTCAGTTAACTTTTTGGTATTTTGAAACTAAGTTCTTAATAAAAATTGGAAAATATCTAATATAATTGCTTATTTATAATTGCTAAGTCATGACTTTATCTTACATGACAATGAACAGTGGTATTTATAAAATATATTCTTATTGTATGCCTGGATACTTGGTAGAATAAAATAATAGGTAAAATAATTTCTTCTGAATTGTGAAATTAAACAAATTATCAAGAGTTTATTGATTTCCTTATACTTGTGTATTGTCTTCTAGTATTACATTTGTAAGGATTAGATTTTATAGGTTAATATTGACATATTTGAATGGAGATAACTATCATTGCCATTCCTACTAATACTCTAAGACCCAGTATAAATACGTACAATTTAAATAAGATCTGTGGTAATTAATATTTGTTTCTTTTAGGCATAGCTTACTTGAATGGAATGTGTAGTGAAAAGAGAAAATGTATTATTGCTGAAGACAATGGCCTGAATCTTGCATTTACAATTGCTCATGAGATGGGTCACAAGTAAGTAAAATTCACGGCTAGGATACATATTTAGTCTCTAACTTTGTCATTTGAGTTATTGAATGTATATCTTTTGATTTTTTTTTTTCCATTTGGGCTTCAAGTTTTTGAAAACTCAGAGAAACAGAAGTGGGGAAACCATGGAACTTTGAAGGGTATCTTCTACATGTTGTAACCATTCCACATACATTTGATAAAATTTTATTACAGACTTAAAATCCTCATGAAGACAGTCATAATATGGTACATGATTGACTTCTCTATACATTTCTAAACAGTGTAACTGCAGCAATAATTATACGACCACAAAGTTATAATTTTTAGACATCCAAGGAAAACATTTGATAGAATGAAAATACTTCCTGCCTCTAGTATTACCTCTATTTGTTACTGCAAGGCACGGAGTAATTACCCTGGTATGTTGAGGTGTAACATACTTGCAACAGAATTCAATTAGATACATAATTAACATGTGGATAATATTAACTCTCAGACACAGTTGTAAGCACTTTTCTTGGGTTAGTTCATTTAATACAAAAAACAAAGAAGTAGTCAGTATTGTAATTCTCATAGCAACACTTATCTAGCAGTGAATTAGAGTACCTGTTCCTCTACACACTTGCCAGCATTTATTGTTTGTTGATTTCTGTAAGAGAGCCATTCAAACTGGGGTGAGGTGAGACTGTTTTGACTTGCAATAATACTTAAAATCTACTCTCACCAGTTTTCAAGTGACTGATTTTAATGTCACCATTTTTTAAATGTATAGCAATACTTTCATTTTTTCCCATGCAGGTTTTTGGTCTTCAATTAGTCAAGAATAGGAGGAGTTAGTTTGTTAATAAAATAAAAAAAAAGTATACTTCAGAAACATCATTCTTTGGGGAAAATATAGTCGAGGAGTGATAGTAATTGTATTTTTTAAAAGATTTTTATTTATTTATTTGACAGGTAGAGTTACAGACAGTGAGAGAGAGAGAAAGAGAGAAAGGTCCTCTTTCCGTTGGTTCACTCCCCAAATGGCCACCATGGCTGCAGCTATGCCGATCCGAAACCAGAAGCCAGGTGCTTCTTCCTGGTTTCCCACGTGGGAGCAGGCGCCCAAGCACTTGGGCCATCCTCCACTGCCTTCCTAGGCCACAGCAGAGAGCTGGACTGGAAGAGGAGCAGCCGGGACTAGAACCCGGTGCCCATATGGGATGCTGGTGCTGCAGGCGGAGGATCAACCTAGTGTGCCATGGCGCTGGGCCCAGTAATTGTATTCTTGATCCTAGTGTAATTTAGAAAATTTAATGGTATTCTCAGTTGTAGTTATAATAGGAAAAACCATGAGCATCAGTTGAAGGAAATGTTTTTTTTTGGAAATGTTGATAATAATATATAGAGGCAAGCAAATGTTATTAATAACAATATTAAGAAAGCAAGTGAGAATTAGAAAAATTCTAAAAATAAATGTAAATTTGTGAATTATTATAATTTTTACTTTTTTAAAGATTTATTTACATATTTATTTAAGAGGTAGAGTTACAGACAGAGAGAGGGAGAGACAGAGAAAAAGGTCTTCCATCTGCTGATTCACCCCCCAAAATGGCCACAACGGCCAGAGCTGGGCTGATCTGAAGCCAGGAGCCAGCAGCTTCTTCTGGTTCTCCCACATGGTGCAGGGGTCCAAGCACGTGGGCCATCTCCCGCTGCCTTCCTATGCTGTATCAGAAAGCTGGATCGACAGTGGAGCAGAAGGGACATGAACCAGTACCTATACAGGATGCTGGCGCTACAAGTGGAAGCCTAGCCTACCACGCCACAATGCTGACCAATAATTTTTATTCGTTAGCTGTGTATTAGCAGCATGATATATAAGCATTCTAGACATTAAAAATTATTGTTAAGTGCCATGAATAGTACAAAGTTCACTTAAAAAGTTGTATTTTCAAACAAATATAGTATTAAAAACAGATATGCAACATTAATTTCTTCAATCTTGGTTGTATTCTAAAATACAGGAGGATGAATAATTAAAGGAACGAAACACAATTTAATAACATCCAAAGTCTTGATCAATAACCTAAAACTACTTAGAAAATTAAGTGAAATAATTTAAGGAAAGGACACTTTGGCTTTATGTGGCAGAAACATTAATTTACTTGACTTTTATAGAGCTGGATCAAAAATCAACAGTGATGCCAAGTGCATATGTAATACATGCTGGATTGGGACCAGGACATGTGATACATGTTGAAACACTCAGTTATTGAGAATTCGTGTTACCATTAAGCAAAATTTATCTCAAAAGTAAATATAGTGTTTGCTAGATGATGGACTGTGAGTGATAAAAACAGTGAAAGTAATGTTATCTTTCTATAATACAAATAAATAGGAAATTTATATACATTATCTCATCATCGAAATCACTCAGTGTAAAATATACTGCAAAATAATCAGAGAGTGGAAATTCAAAGAAGTATATTGATATACAAGGTAACTTCAAGGAATGTGAAAAAAGGAATGAGAAAAGTTTATTTTTACACAAAAAATTTATGAAATCTATATATTCTTATATTCATAGTCCAATTTTCCGTGAAGTTTTTGAAGACTCCTTTTAGTTATAGCTTCTCAAATAGGAAAAAACCTTTATGAATATTAGATAATTATAGATCCTATGTATCTGTGCACTTAATACAAATACAAGGAGAGCCCTTTATACTCAGAGGTAGTCCCGGTCGGGGTGCTGGATTCTGTCCCGGCTGCTCCTCTTCCAGTCCAGCTCTCTGTTGTGGCCTGGGAAGGCAGTGGAGGATGGCCCAAGGGCTTGGGCGCCTGCACCCATGTGGGAAACCAGGAGGAAGCACCTGGCTCCTGGCTTTGGCCGTAGCGGCCATTTGGGGAGTGAACCAACGGAAGGAAGACCTTTCTCTCTTTCTCTCTCTCTCACTATCTAACTCTGCCTGTCCCCACTGCCCCCCCCCAAAAAAAGTCAGCTATTTAAGTGAAACTCTTAAATCTTACAGATTTTTCTTTTTTTATTATTATTTTTTTTGACAGGCAGAGTGGACACTTTTTATATTTCTCTGTTTTGCTGAATTATATAATTAGAAATATTCTTCAGTAAACTAATAATAAACAACATTATATAATTCTGTGAACCACAACTGTAGAATGATACAGTGATGCCACGAAAATGTTCGATTCAAGAATGCCTTCCTAATCACTCATGGAATGTTTCTAAACTGAGCTGAAAGGAGTATGCTTATGTTTGTTGTCTTGAATTTGATTTCTAGAAATTCTCAGAACAATTTCAGATATAGCTGAAATAATCAGCTTGGACCACCAAGTAATAAAAAAAAATCCCAGAGGCCTATTTGAGTAACTGAGAGAACAAAAATACTTTTATTATTATCACAAAAGAGTCAAAATCACTGCCAGAAAAATGTATTTTAAAATATATTTAATTATAATACCGCAGTGTAACGAATCCACACTAAGAAAGAGAAGATAAATGATTGAAGCCAATGGTTTTGGCTTCCCCTTTAAAACTGTTTTTCTTCCTAAACAGTGGGTCATGGGAGTTAATTTTCCCATAACCAAAACTTTTGACAACATAATATTTTTCTTAGTGGTATTTAATTAAAATATATTCATGAAATGCAAATGAGATTTCCATTAAATTTCATTGCTTTGATGAATTTTAAAACATTATTTATGAGTAAAAATACCTTTGGAAATTGTTCATGAGTTTAGTCTGTTGAATGCATATGTGTATATGCACACAGTTATTGTTTTCTGTAACGTTTATAAACAACAGTTTGTTGAAGTAAGAGATTTTACTTAGATTTCCGGCCATAATTTATTATAAATATAATTATAGTTTAATTGCTTTGTTAGGGAGGGCACTAAGACTGCCTTCAGGTTAATTAATCTATAGCAGGACTTGTAAAATTCAGTGCAGCTATTTTACTCATGGTTACAATTTATTACCATGAAAGAATCTAGATTAAACTCAGGGGGGAAAAAAGTCACATAGGACAGAGTCCAGAAGACCCCAGGCTCAAGCCCTCCTGGCAGAGTTGGACAGAGTGTGCTCAACCTACATCAACAGCGTAGGAAAACATGGGCACTGCCGGCATCCAGAGGAGCTACCTGGAGCCTTGAGATGCAGGACTTTTACTGGAACTGGGTCATGTAGGGGTGACTGACTGCCCACAACACAGGCCTTCGGGCTCCATCCTCTCCAGAGGTCAAGCTGGCCCTTGTCCCTCGCTATCAGTCACACAGGCAGTGTAAACTGCCATGATCCAAAGCCTCCCGGGAAACAAAGATATTCCTGTGAAGACACCTTGGCTGGATATTCCAAGGGCTTAAAGGTTACCTCCCAGGAGCCAGGCCAGGAAAAAAGTTTGTTTAGAATGTGCAGGTTCTGGACCACTCACTTACTGAGTTCACTACTATACAATTGCAAAATATTTTTAAAGTTTCAAAATCTCACACTTGTCTTCTTTTGTCAGAGGCATTGGGTTTAATATCCTGCATTCAAATATAAATCCAGTGTCAGAGAGCCTTGAGCTAAGAATGTACTGTGGTTATCTTCAGCTCCCAGAGGAGGAAACTGAAGCTCATAGAGATGCACTTTTTAGTACTGAGCCCTTTTTGTACTGAGGACATTTTCTTTTGATTGAATTTATTATAAATATTTTCCTGGTTATAATAGTTAATTTACTTTTGATTTTTAATATTAACCTGCAGTTTTTATTAGTCATCAAATTTCTTATTTCCTTTTTAAAATTTCTTCTATAGTTTTTTTTTTTTGCAATTATAGGTACTACCTCATTCTAAAATTAGGAAAATACATTTTTATAATTCTATATTCTCTCACTATTTAACATTTTAAGTCATCTAAAATGTATTTCATTATATATAGTAAAAATCTCTCCATGAAATTTGTATTTCTCATTAACTGTTCAATAAATGGTCTTACTATTGCAAGTGTGGGCTGTGATGAGATG